CAACCTTGTGTTCCCTATCAGCAGCTTCCTTGTCCCCTTCTGCCTTCTGGCCCTTGTCACTGGACTCCTGTACCTCGTTAGTCTCATTTGGTTTTATGGGGCTGTCCACTCCCAGGCTGAACAGTGAATCTCAGATAGAGCTTGGTTTTTAAATACCATTTTCTACTAAAAGAAACCAGGATACCTTAGAGAAATGGCTGGCTTCAGGGCTAGAGCAAGGAAAGAACATGACAAGCTTGGAATATCTTTCTGGGCTAAAAAAGTAAGGAACAGTGTTATGAATTGAATTGTGTCCCCCAGAAACATGTATCAACTTGGCTAGGCCGTGATTCCCAGTATTGTGTGTTTGTCCACCATTTATGATCTGATGTGATCATCCTGTGTGTTGTAAATCCTAACCTCTCTGATATTAATGACACAGGTTTAGAGGCAGTTGTGTTAATGAGGCAGGACTCAATCTATAGGATTAGGTTGTATCTTGAGTAAGTCTCTTGAGATATGATAGAGAGAAGCGAGCAGAGAGGAGAGGGACCTCATGCAACCAAGAAAAAAGCACCAGGAGCAGAGCATGTCCTTTGGGCCCGGGACCCTTGTGCTGATAAGCTGCTAGACCCAGGGGAGATTGATGACAAGGACATTCCCTCAGAACCAACAGAGAGAGAAAGCCTTCCCCTAGAGCTGGTAACCTGAATTCAGTCTTCTAGCTTCCTAAACTGTTAGAGAATAAACTTCTGCTTGTTAAAGTCATCTGTTTGTGGTATATCTGTTATAGCAGCACTAGATAACTAAGGCAAGTAGCTCACAGAATCATAGAGACATGTCAAAGGGGTACAAAGCTAGCTTGAAGGGACTCCCACTGGCCCCTTCATTTGAGCAAAATAAATGGTAGTGAAAATAATTGATGAGTCCACACTGCAATGAATGAATGAGAGAGAAAGGAAAGCTCTCTCTTACAATTCAAAAACAACTAATAAATGTAGAAGGAATGATGGAATTAGAAAATCACCATTTGCCAACTATGAAAATGATAATTGATTCTGGCAAGAATCATTGACAAATGCTAAAACTAGTGGGTGAAAATTTGAGGAGTAACACGATATTTGTACAGTCTCAAAGAACATCCTAATGATATGCTACTTGCTAAATGTTTTTAATTAATTCTAAATCTCACTTTCTTGTATATGTTTGCTTAATATCTCTTTTCCTACCTTTTTATAATTACCATTTTACTTAAGTGTTTTAATTATAAATGGCCTGTAGGTAGCTTTTATTTTCACCTCAATTTCTAAGTATGTTTTTAAATGAGAAGCCAGTTCATTTATATTTAGGATTGGACATATTTTGATTTTATTTCTTCCATCTTATTTTACATTTCCAACCAAAATGTGCAAAGTGCTTAAAAACAGTGCTTGGCAAATGGTAAGAGCTCAATAGATGCTAGATATGTAATTGTGTTTTTTTAAAGCAAGCATATATTTTATCGTATTAAAGACTTTGATCCCATTGGTTGTTGAGCAAATGGTATAGTTGAAAATAGGAAAACTAAAATTTAAATTTACTCTACCTCTTGAATTCATTCAAATTGAATAGATTTATGTCAACTGTACAGTCAGCTTATATGCTCTGATTGTGAATATTTTATCTTTTGGAGTATCCTTCATTTGTAGTCAGTGTTGCTTTTGGAGAAAAGTTCTTCTAGAATACAATGCGTACTGCCTGAGGATTGCTCTAACAGGATTTCACGTAATGTTTAATGGGACACGTGGGGATTTCATATCATAAAAGAACACTTGGAAGATGTTGTTTTGTAAAGACTACTGAGTAATATTGAAGTAGCACTGTATGTACTCCTTACCCAGGTGCCTCACTGAATGCCTGCCATTTCACAAGTTATCCACCCCTACCCTGCCACCCCAACTTAATTCAGGCTTAAGTTTTAAAGTATATTGAATCCACATACAGAAACTGGTTCTGATTTGCTGTTTGTGTGCAGTTTGCTTAGATGTCTACTGATGTTGCCTTTGACAAATTTAAATACATAAAACTGATGTTTCCTTAGGATTTATTTTAGACTGTTGCATTGTGCAGTAGACCAGTGTTAAAGCACAATAGGTTTTAAGTAGAGCTGCTTACGGAGTGATCTGTAAAATCTTTCTAGATGTCTTTGTATAACTGCTCTGGTCGGCTAGGAATTATTATTTGTTTTTGCAGGCAAGTTAATGGGTTAAAATGGCAGTGGAAACGGCCTTCTATTTCAAAAGTGCACTTAACTGCTTGCTCAGGGCATTTAGAATAAAGAGTCAGGCAAAGTCGTTTACAGTCCAGTTTGTCTTTGAAAATATTGAAAAGCACAGATTCTTATTGAAAGAATGATATCATACGTGTGGCTGTGTATGCACTGGTTTGGTTTTAGTTCATGGTTCTTGTTTTTCCAGTAGTTGAAAAGACAGTGGAAAACAAAAAGTGACTAATTTTCTTACTTACTATTTTTTCAGCTGCTTCAAACATTTGATAGTGGGTGTAAATTCATAGTATCAGTGATGTACAAATGAGAGCCCTATTACTTAACTGGGTGGGAGAGAGGGGCCGGAATTAGAAAATCTTACGATTCTCATTCCAGCCAAATGCACAAAAACATTGGGTTAGTCAGTTTCCTAAGCTTTCTAATAAAATGCCATCACCAAAAGATTGGTATAAATATATTTATATTGATACTGTTTCTTGTTGTGGAAGTTTTCTAAGTTTTTTCAGTTTTTACTTGGGAATTTTATTACCTCATGTCTAGAACCTCTCTGAATAATATCCCTCCCACTACCAGTTTGAGATTTTTGTTGTGAGCATTAGAATTTATTAATTTTTAATTTTGTCCAAAGAGTTATAAATGTTGTATACATTATGAATTCTGGAGTATTTAAGTATTGTTATTTTTATCTTAGTGTATTCGTAAATATAAGCCATCTCTTAATGCCTTACTTCTTTTCGGGATTGTCTTTTTATTTCCAAAGAAGATTACAAGTGTGTTACCAGAAGAAAATTACTTAAAGTGGGGTAATAGATTGTAATATGTCATAGAATTCTAATTTTTGTACTCGCAAATATATAAGAAAAATAAATCTAGTGTAACTGAAATCTGAAGTTGCCCATATATTCTTATTTCGAAGTACTTTTTATTATGGCGGGCAACTTGAACTGCTCCATACTGGAAAATTTAATGTACCACTCAATTACTATTCTTTAGCCCAATTTAAAATAATAGATTAGGAGTAAGGTCTTAATGCAGTGTAACCTTTGGAACATTAGAAATAACCTCTTTCTTTCCAGAAATCGGTATACAGTAAGGATATGAGTTTTATTACACTGCATGAATAGATTTTGTAATAGCATTTACAAAATGCTTTTTTGGTGTATTGCATAAGTATACTGATTTCTTGTCTGTTACTAAACTTACTCTAAATATTAGTTTAAAGATGACATTGTTACAATGTTTGAAAACATATTTTTTTTATTTTAAAGATTTTTTTGATGACTTCATTCTGATTCTGATGAAAGGACCAACTTAATGGTGTCTTAATATTTTTATATTATTTCATAAATTGAGTGTTTTGAAAGAATTTGAGATGGTAAATATTCTGATAAAATTTTAGCTACAAAACAGTCCTTATTCTCACTTTCTTCTTTAACAGTCATACTGTGTATAGCTGTGAAATGATACAGAAAGTATTAGGACTTTATTTGAGGAATTGGAAAAGGACTTTATAAAAAGAGTGTTATCTTTTCTTGTGAGACTATCCTTTAATGAAAGCCATTGACTTTTTTATTTATTATATAAAGCAAATTTTCTACGGTAGGTGAAAATGTTCACAGAAACTAATTTGCATACCACCTCAAATTCTGTTTATAATAGGGGAGGATATAAATAAGCAAATGAGTAATAAAACTAATTTGCATACTCTAAAATGTTGGTCTTAATGGTATTGATGGAAGTTTTCCAATTTGTAGCTAAGCAGTGATTTTTTTTTTAGACACAAATTATATTGAAATGTCCTTTATTTTAAAAAATAATGCCAAAATGCAATATTGAAGAAATTTATTTTATGCCTGTTTCCTTTGTTAATGACCAAATAATAGACCAGGATTCGTGATTTTATAAGAAGACCTTGATGATCTTGTCATTTTGATGTTTCCGATAGATGCAAATACATAGAGAACAATAACAGGTTTAATTTGGAATCCTATTCTTTAATGGATCTACTCCTTTTTCCCTATTATCCCGTGGGTTCTCAAAACATGTTTTGTGGACCACCTGTCTCAGGAATCATGTGTGATGCCTCTTTAATGTAGAGTCCTGGGCCCTACCACATTTTTTTTTTTTTTTAAATCACATTCTTAAGAAGATCTGGTGTCGCAATGGTTAAGTGCTTGGCTGCTAACTGAAAGGTAGGAAGTTTGAACCCACCAGTGGCTCTGTGGGAGAAAGGACCTGGTAATCTGCTTCAGTAAAGTTTGTAGCCTAGGAAACCCTATGGGGCAGTTCTGCTTTGTCCTGTGGGGTCATTACGAGTCAGAATCGATTCGACGGCACATGACAACAACAACCAACACCAAAGAACTACTCTCTTAGAGTTGATAACAAAAATCTGTAGTTTTAATAAGAACTCTAGCTGATTTTTTTTTACATCAAGATAAAAGAACCTGTGCTCTAGAGCAGGAGTCAGCAGACTTTTTCTGTAGGTTGCTAGATTGTAAATATTTTCAACTTTGTGGGCCAAGTGGTTTCTGTTGCAACTATTTACCTCTGCCATTGTAGCATAAAAGCAGCCATAATATATAAACAAATGGACATGCCAGCCAGATTTGGCCCAAGGAGAGCCTTGGCCTACTTGCCAAAGTTTGCCCATCTCTCATTGAGTCTAGGTTCTAGACCAATGGCTTTTCATTGAATCTTTTCTAAGGTATTATCTCTGAAATCAGTATCACTGAGATTTCCTGTGTATTTATTTTTTGATAACTAAAGAAGCATTTCTTGGATATATATTAAATGAGATATAAAGACTTTGTAATTATTAAAATATTTTCTGTGTTGATATTAAGGAGAGTGTGATCATCTTACTTGTTGATTACCTTACTTGTAACTATATAATTTGTTTCTCATTTTAGGTTCCTGTGGCTAGAGCAAGTATTCTTTGGCTAATTGGAGAAAATTGTGAACGAGTTCCTAAAATCGCCCCTGATGTTTTGAGGAGGATGGCTAAAAGCTTCACTAGTGAAGATGATTTGGTAAAACTGCAGATTTTAAATCTGGGAGCAAAATTATATTTAACCAACTCCAAACAGGTAAGAGGCTAATCCAGAATCTAGCTATCTGATATGTACTTTACTCTGATTAAGCAGCTAAGGTCTATTCATTCAACAGTTACTGGGTGGCTCTTTGTTCCAGGTTCTGTGCTAGATGGTGTGGTGCGAAGAGCGGACATACTCATCTAGTAGGGGAGAAAAACAGATAAAAAATGAAGTAGTATATGATAAGTGCTATAAGAGAGTTACTGAGGTACAGTGGGGCTCCAGAGAAAAAAGTTATTGAAAGTCTGTAGCAGAAGGAGGAGAGAGGTCCAAAAAACTTTCACAAAGGATAAGACTCTTAAGGGCTCGTAAGTAGTGGTTTATCATACAGAATTAGGAAAGAGGAGACCGAAAGGGTCAGTCATAAAAAAAGATTAATGTTTCTGAAAACTTTTAGAGCTAAGTCTGAAAAAGGAGGCAAGGACAGGACCTGGAGTGGCTTGTAGGCTTCGCTAAGTATTATGGACCTTGTCCTCTAGGGGAAGACTATTAAAACTTTTAAATAATGGTATAATTTGCCAGATGTGCATTTTAGAATATTCATTTGTTAAGTTGGTTGAGTCTTTGAGGAACTGCCAGTAAGAGGAATCATTTTGCCTCTGTATAAAATAGGAACTTTTCCATGTGTCTGAATTGCTATTCTCCATGAATGGAAGACTTACCTGATTAGTGAGATTGAAAAAGGATTCTTGCTCATTTGCAGCTAGGCCTCATAGTAGGTTTTATGCTCCATGACCTGTCTCTATTATTCCCTTTCTCTTTGACTCTCACTTTGACTCTGTGATTTTCTCCCATTTTCCTCTCTCCATCTTTGTCCTCCTTCTTCCCCCAAACTCTCTCTCTGCCTAGGTGTCCCTCTGACACCCCTATCCTTTCACTGCCCCTACCCCAGTCTAATGTCTGTCTGTCATTCTCTGCTTTTCCTATCTGTTTGTGTCTCTTTTCTGAATTTGTGTGCTTATCTCTGTCTCCTTTCTGCCTGCCAATAGGCTACACTCATTCTCTAGTAAGCTGATGTTTGCCATTCAGAATCTACAGGTTGATTTCTCAAATTCATGTCTGTGTACTTTGGGATTGCCTTCACCCCTAACTGTGATATGAGTTGTTATTTTTATTTATTGTAGCTTTTGCTAATCTGTGTAAAAGACTTATGACCAGATAATTGCAAATATTTGAACATATTTCCATGATTTACTTTTTATCTTTACATTTTAAGTCATCTTTGAAGGAAACCAGTTATTAATTTTCAAGTGTCTTGTAGATTGCTTCATGCAATGAGTTACTTTTAGAAAAATAGAGTAAGAGAAGAAAAGAAACTTATGTTTTCTGTTGAGTTTCTTATTTACTGATAAAAATGCTATTTTTGACTTAAAACTCCCTGTGACCATTACAACTATGTGGTGTTGTGAAAGTCAATGTAATACCTAGAATTTTATGATTGTTATGATTTTCTGTTAAGTGCTCGGCCGCTAACCGAGAGGTGAGTGGTTCAGGCTCACCAATGCTCCACGGGAGAACTGCTCCCATAAAGATTACAGCCTAGGAAACCCTATGGGACAGTTCTATTCTGTCCTGTAGGGTCACTGTGAGTCAGAATCAACTCAGCAGCGCACAACAGCAACAACAATATGACTTTCTGTCTGGTTTGGCTACTCTAAATGTATGTAGCTTACAGATTATTATAAAAGAAGTAGTACAAAACTAGTATGCTAATCAAGACTGAGAGTTATGTTTTACAAAACTAAATGAAAGTTCTGTCTTTGGCCCTCTATATAGCTGTAAATAACCAATAATGAAATGTAGTATCCTTTGTTCAGAAATTATAATAGAGTGTGTTCCATATCTCTTTATTCAGTGAATTTGAAGACAACATAGTTTGCCCTCAGATATTTTTTTCTTCAGCTGTATTATTAATTGAAATTTTGAAACTCAGCTTCTGAAATGTTCTACTATACAGTTTAGAATGATACCTGTAGATAAACAAAATAGACTTCACACCAGTTGGTAAAAACACAATGTTTTTTTTAAATGTTACAAATTTTTAGGTGTTATCTTCATATAGCTCATTATTTTTAAATGACAAAATATAAAAATGAATGAATGAGGGTGTATCCTGTAGGATTTGACTTTGTTCCCCACTACTTCTCATTTCTCAAGAAAATAATTTGTGAGGATAAATGAAAGTTAACATTAAAGGATTATTTTAAGCACCATCAACTTGGCATTTTTTTAGTTGTATGGTTCATAGCCCATTGAGTATGAGACAGACACCAAAATGATTACTTTGACCTAAATGTAGAGAGTTATTTTCTATGCTTACATATTTTATCCATTTTAGAAACTGAACTTGAGAGACCACCGACATAGTGTTCAGGGGCTGGTTTGCCATAAAGTCCTGATATTTATTTGTAGAACTGAATCCTCCATGGTCTAGATATCTCAGTGAATGTTACCAGCATTTTATTGAATTGTTTGGTTCTAGAGAATATCTAAGTTAATATTTATAAGATTTGGCACATTGTATTTATTTGTGTGCTTGAAGAATAATGATAAACTTCTTTACTACCTCAAAATATTTTACTTGGTATAGAAGAATTGAAAAATTAGTCAACAGTCTGCTCTCAGTATGATTGCATATATTGCTACTGGACCGTCTGTGCCATAAGTATAAACTTCGAGTAAAATGAAAAAAAAAAAAAAACACTCACACACACAACAGCAACAACAATAGCAACAAAACTGCCCAAAGGGCAGTAAATAAAAGCAGGAAGATTCTGGAGGGGAGTTAATACTTGGAAGAAGGGAGTGGCACAGGGTGAGATTCTCCATTTTATGGTGTTTATCTTGAGAACAGGCCACATTTGGCACTATACAGAGGCTAAAACTCCGAAAGGAAACCAAAAATCCTGGACTGAAGTCACAGAGGGCAAAGTTGAAACTACAACCACTAAAAAGTTAAGAGAAAATCCTAGAAAGGAGAGAGCCAGAGTGGGAGAGCCTCAAAATCTGTTTGTGAAGAACTCTTTCAAGTTTTTGGCTGACCTTTGAACCATACATAGTCAGGCTAGATTTAAAGCAGTACGCCTAAGAATAAAAGAACTGAATTGATATTTGAGCTATACCTGAGACAGTTTTCACTTTGAGTCCAGCCAAGTTAACCGACTGCTAAAACAAGCAAACAATCAGTACTTATTCCAAGAGTATTACCATGTTCAGGGTCTCCACAACACATCAGTCATAATGTCTAAGATGCAATCCAGAATTACTCAACATAAGATCAAGAAAATGTGATTCATTTTCAAGGGGGGAAGAAAACAAACAGAAACCAACTGAGATGACCTAGATGTTGGAAATTGCATGCAGAATTTTAAAGCCGCTGTTACAACTATAGTCAGTGATATAAAGGAATATGTACTTATATTGAATGAAAAGATAAAAATCTCAGCACAGAAATAGAAATAACTATTAAAAAGAATCAAATGAAAGTTCTAGAACTGAAAAATACAGTAGCTGAAAAATAAGTCAGCATCTAGTCTATTTTGAATATTATATGTTCTTTCTTAACATTTTAATATTTTCCCTGTTTGGTATTGTGATATGAGGCTGCTTCATATAGTTTTTTTTTAAACTCTGTTACATTGTGTCTAAGAGTCTTTAGGTGAACCTCTGTAAGCTGAAGTTTTCTAATTCTGGGCTATTACAGTCAGATGGAACTATGAAAAATTTTATAAATCACACTAAATGCTTTTACGATCCCTACTGAAGTTAAAAACACGTTCTGTCTTGCATCTCTGTGATTCAGGTCTTTGGAGAAATCTTCCCTTTCTCCAGTCCTTTTAATATGATTTAGCAAAAGGAGACTCAGGCGCCATGCGTTGATAATATCTCCCCTACCCTTTCATGGCTATTTTCTTGGCTTTGAAAAACACAAGTAAATATAGCATGTAAAGGAAAAATTTATGGAAAAGTTTTAGTTCACAGAAATGTGGATGTTGTTCAGAAATTTCTTCCAAGTCACATAAAGAATCCTGTTTAGTCATGAAATGATGAAATTGATTAGATGGAACAATACTACTACTTAGGTTTGCTTCTGGTATAGATTGAGCATTCTATGTAGCTTTCTTTCATTTACTAAACACATTTGCCAATATCTTCCTTTTAAAAATAATAACTACATGGAATTAATATTCATCTTTACTATGCTGAATGCTGAATTCTGTGTACTTTTTTGTGTTTCTTAATAGTATCTCTAAGCTGACTTTAGAACTATAGTATTTTTAAATAAATAGTGTGCGCCTTCTACATTTGTTTGCCAACTGTGTTCTCCCACACGAAGTATTTTCAGAAGCATTGTTATGCTGATTTTCTTTTTTTTTACATGTTGCTGTAAAAAATTAGCATAGCAGACTTATGAAAATAATTCGCGGGGTGGGGGAGGGCGCAGTTGACAAAAGTAGAAGGTGCGTGTTACTCGTGTGAAATACTGTGCTTTTTAAGATCTTATTTTGTGTTGACTTATGAAATATTTGAAGAAAGCTATTGTTGGGTGATTATTTACTAGTTTATTATTTATCAGAGTATTTAGGTAAAACTGTGATGTCTATATTTTAGGAAGTTCTTTTAAGTAATTATTTAATTTTTTTGTAGCATTCCCCCAAATTCATCTCTGCTATGGCACAATGACTTAGAGTCAATCTGAAGAGAATGTAACTGATGTAAATAGTTGGTACCAGTAATGGCTCTCTAATTCTAAGCAGCAAAATTAATCTGAAATCAAAATTTAACAAGTATCCATATAATACTGTGTATTCCTGTTAATGAGATTACATTGTATTCTGTTTGCTTGTTTTATACAATTTTATGAATAAGACAAATTAAAAAGTACTATTTAATGTCACATCTGATTTTGGATTGAAATGCCTTTGGTCATGGTAAAATGCCATGATTGTTTTTTTAACCATTGTCTACTTCCTTCATAACTGTTGTCCAAAATGGATACAATTTGCATCTATTGTCTCAGTGTCCGTGCAGTTTTGTATTTGTCCCAATTTTTTTTTTTTTTTTTTTAATGAAATACTGTTATCAGTAGTTACACTAAAAGAAGACAGAGTAAGCATGTAGACCTTCACTTGGTACTTCTGCCTTCTGCCATGGTTTTGTCTAGTGGCTTATAAAACACCAGTATAGTGAACAGATTTCATTTCAATACATAAAACATTTAAATCTGAAAGACTATGTCTTTCTTTTTTTCAAGCCTTTTTACATGCAACATAACTAACTCCTCCCTTTCAGAACAGCATGCAGGGTGAGTGCTGATAAAATGAAATTTGCTTTGACAAGGCAGGTAGGGAGAGCTTAAGTCCTCTTTTCCGGTGGTGGTGAGGTAAGTATTTAACAATGCTTCATTTGCCCGCAACTTGATGTATCATCAAGTTGTGCTGCAGCCTGTGAATCATCAAGTTGTGCTGCAGCCTGTGAGACGCATAAAGCTCCAGGCTGCCAGTGGATGGAGTTAGAGGAAAATATGGGAACTTCCAGATTGGTTGTAGGTGAAGTATCGACAGGAAACACTGAGCAGTCCTGGTGTAGATCGTTATAGAAAGTGGACAGAACACACTTGCTACATAGTTTTGTTACTTATTGTATAGTGTAAATCTAAACCTATTTAATTTATTATTTGGAAGTTATTTTTTATTTTGTTATAAATTGGCAATAAATTTTTAAAAAATGAAAATGTATATTTAATGAAGAATTAAGTACTGAATTTGTTTTAGTTCTTAACATTCACAAAATGCTTATCAACATTTACCATCCAGCATGAGAGCTGTAATGATATCACTGATCATGAACAGCCAGAAGAAATAACAAATATGCTAAAAAAGAATCAGCAACTATTTTAAAAAGTTAGCGATTATTTTAAGAAGATTGTGCTGCAAGATGACGAAATACACAGGTGCAGAAGGTGTTTATGTAACTCTGTGAAACACGGCCTCTTTTAAATAACTTTTCTCTTAATTTTGTTCATTTTTAATTCCAAGTTTTCTTTTGCACATATGAAATGAAGAAATAGCTTTTAATAGTGTTGTCTGCATTAGCAGAAAAAGGAGTTAAATGATGCTGATTTTCACATGTAAAATCGTTAATTCCAATAATAGTTTTAACTTTTTTTCACTCAAAGCTTTTGTGCGTTTATTCTGTCAGTGCTGTAAATGGAATCAAAGAAAAGCTTTTGGGAGTTTATTCTTTCAAAAATGCTGTAAATGCAACTGTAAATTAAAAAGCTCAACACTGAAGATAAAATAATTTGGTTTTGCCAAAAGGACATTTTCATGGTAAAATCAATGTTCTTATTAAGAAAACTGTGGAGCAGAAGTGTTTTTGGGATTGGTTGCAGTGCATGCAAACAAGTTTTGCTTGTTCTACCAATTGCAATAAAACTGCAGTGGTCAAAATTTGTGTATACAGGGTAACTGAACAACAGCATTTTTAAGATGAAGCTGCTGTTGAATAAAAATACTGTAGCACGATAGTATGCACTCTATTTGCTGCATGTTATCATTTGGATTTTAGAAATGTGCTTTTGTGAAGAGCTGCTTTGTAAGTTAGCCTAAGTGTCCTGTATTGGCTTTTTGTGTTTGTGGAGGTGTGGGGACAAGCAAGTTTTCAGAATATTGGTTAGATTTTGATTTCAAAGTCATTTGGAAATCTTTAAAGTGTTCACCAAATAGAGTGCCAGAAACCCTCAGCTGTTGAAAATTTCTGCAGTAGTGGTTCTTGAAAACATACCTTGCAAAAAAGAAGACATTGAAATTAATCCCTATAAAAGCAAGGGAAGAGTTGAACAAATTAAACAGTGAGACCTCAGGATTTAATTTGGAAGTTCTGTAATTTGCAGTATCTCAACTATTGTAAAGATTCTTTTGATGGAGCTCCTATTTTTAATTGGGGAAGTTAATATTTTGTATTAGAATGAAATGAAATCAAGAAGGCAGTTGATTTTGCAGTATCTAAATTTGGTGAAATATTCAAAAGAAGTATAAATAGAGATGATTTTTTGACAAGTTTTGCCTTATAAAAATAGTAACTGAAAAAAGTTTCTCTGAATGGCGAGGGAAAAAAATGTCTGGGATTGAAGTACAGTGAAACCTGTGAAAGCCAGAATTCAATGGGACTGCCTTGTTTTTCCAGGTCTTGCAAGACTTAACACTATGCTATTGCTCGTTTTAGTGGAAAATAGTTTTCCTTCTCTGATCAGTTTCCACCTTACACAGGTTCCAGCTTTCACAGGTTTTAGTATATTTATAAATTTCAGCTTAAAGATAGAATTAGAATATCCTTTGTTCAACACAGTTTTCTCTGAGCTTACCAGGTTGCTCAATACTGTGAAGATGGTGTTTTCTCCATTAAAAATATTATGGTCTATAACCAAAAAACCAGATCCGTTGCTATCAAGTCAATTCCGATTCATAATGATGCTATAGGACAGAGTGGAACTGCCCCATAGGACTTAAGAGGCGACTGATGGATTTGAACTGCTGACCTTTTGGTTAGCAGCAAGCTGTTAACCACTGCACCACCAGGGCTACACATTATAACCTATAGAGAAGAGTAAATTGAAAATGTCAACAATTTTGTAATTATTAATCACAAAATACAATTTTGAAAAAGATGACAGGCAATTTTTTTTTTAAAGCTTAAACATTATAAGACCATATAAAATACATTCTTCAGAGAAATACCGGTGGCACGGTATTAGAGATAGATACAGCTAAGAAACTGATTAAAGTACATGAATGTGCTAAGAATAATTATTTTGCTTATGTTTTTAATGCATCATTGTACATTGATATGTTTTTATCTTTTGGGAAGAATTTTATTTTGGAAATACCTTATTAATAGAACTGTTTTATAAGTCTACCAATATAATAAAACAAATTTGACAGTAAATAAATACATATTTTAAAAATTATATAGTTTTAATTACTTTAAATACCCTACCTCACCTTCAATAGTGTTTGTTAGTATATTGAAATCATTTAGTTGCCTAAAAATTAATTTTGAGGATATGAATTATAAGCAACCTATTTTACTCTTTTAGGCTCAAAATTGCAATGAACAAACTTAATTTCTTTTGTTGATTTATTTTAGTTATACATTCTGAATTGCAACAAATAGACTTTAAAGTAGCCTAGTTGTAAATTCTCATTTGAGAAAACTAGTGGTAAAGTGTGTTTCCCAAGTTTCCCCAGTAAGTTAATGACACAGTCCAGTGTGTCACGCTTTCCTTTAAGCTGGTCTTAGTTGTGTTTTTCATTTAGTGAATATTTTGCTAATTTTCTTTAAAAAATGAATCATAGAATTTTTCTTATTTGTAATTGGTCTGTCAATTAGTGAATAACATTTGTTTGTAACCAAATTCAGAACAGCTCTATTAACATTTTCACTTGTATTTTATATAACTCTAATAAAACTAGGTTAGTGCTTTTTAAATACCATGCTACTGAAAGAAGGTTGCTTTCTCTCCAAGTCAATTATCTTAACCAATTATTGTGAAAGAGTTTACCACACCATTTCTCTACTTTGACTTATTGTTCTAAAAGTGTCTTTAGTGCTGCCCAACTTGAATTCATTTGCATTCTTTTCTAATGTCTATCAAATGTTCTCATGTAGATGATTTACTATTCCTGTTTATTTTTCCCATGTATTATGAATCCTACTTAACTTATAGTTACAATCGTGTATTTGTAGCCCTCTAAATTAAAACTATGCTCTTTCAATAAAATAACTAGTTTAAAATACAAACCTACTATTTTGTTAGCATTTCAATTTTGGTTTAATTATTATTAAAATTATCTCAATATATGTTAATGCAGTACATTCAAAAATTGAATTAAAAAATGTTATTATGGTTTAAAAGCTATTATAATAAGCTGTTCCCTTGCATAAATAAATAAATGACCAATATTACTGGAGGCTATAAGCAGCGTGGTAGAAAAAATGAAAGAAGTCTTTTATCCTAGTTTTTAGAGGGCATCAGCAGCTTGCTTTTATGAAAAAGTAACAGCTAAATGCACTGCAAATAATTTGTAGTAATCCAGTTCAGTGATTCATGTGTCTGCTTTAATGGGTCATAATTCAGGGTAAAGTAACTGAGTGCAGTCAGAGTGCAGACACTGCTTATGCCAGGGACAGTATCTCTTCATAAAACACACCTCAGGAGAAGCAGTTTGCCAGCCCCCTAATACTCTCTGATGTTTTGATGTCCTGCATATTTTTCCGATTAAGTTTTGAGTGCCATGTTTTTAGTTGTATTTCCACATTCATTATTCTCACGTAGACCCTTCAGCGGGTTTGCCATATATGATTATTTTTTTAATGATGCCTTTCTTTCCACTTCAGCAGTTTAATAATCTAGCACATGGCTGCTTCTCAGTACTCAGCATTCACCTCCCCAATACAGAAGAGGACATGTGCTTTGGCTTCAAAATTCCATTTGCAGTGTTAGGAATGCATATTCCCTACGGAACAACATTTGTTTGACATAACCATTCATTTTTATTACCTCTTTAAATATGTTTATCCAGAGTTATCAATAATCATAAATAACTGTATTCTCATCTTGTTCTGTTTTTTCCACCAGACAAAATTGCTTACCCAGTACATATTAAATCTCGGCAAGTATGATCAAAACTACGACATCAGAGACCGTACAAGATTTATTAGGCAGCTTATTGTACCGAATGAGAAGAGTGGAGCTTTAAGTAAATATGCCAAAAAAATACTCCTAGCACAAAAACCTGCACCGCTGCTTGAGTCACCTTTTAAAGGTATTATTGTCAGAATATAACTGCAAAATATATGTTATCTAAAAAATTATGGCAGGATATCTCATTTCTAATAAGTGTAAAATTTATCTCTAAGAAAATATAAATGATTAACATATATACGTATGTAAGAACAATGTGCTTTCTACCCATTTATCTGTTTTCACCACAGCAAGTTTTATATTAGTTTAAGCTTATATTTTTATAGACATTATTTATGTAATTTCAAGCCTTCTGATTTTATTTGTATTCTTCCTAAAGAGTTTAACTGAATGATAGATAAATGCCGCATTCTTCTTGTAGTAATTGACTTCTATTTTAAGTAGATAACTTTATTTTTTTTAAGATAGTGAATTTTTATTAATTAAATATTCTATGTATACTAACAAACATTTCTAGGAGGAATTATTCATAAAAGTATCCTTTTATGTTTACATTTGGTTATCATAGAGGGAAAAATGACTTGTTTTTCACAGCTTTTTAGAAGAAGTAATTAAATATTTTATCAGTTTAACAAGTGGCCATTCCAGTTGGAATCAAATGATTATATACCCGGGTTTTCATATTGCTTCTATTTAATTGTTATAAAGTTACCAAAAAAAAAAAGCAGTTCGGTTTTGTAGAAAAACTATTAAAATTCTGGGTGTGTTTGTGCCAAGACATGTATATGGATTGTTTAACTGTGCTGTCATTCTTAATATTCACAGTAAAGTAATTTTTAGAGAAGCTACATTTCAGAGCAACACCTCTAAACACACTGACTGATTAGCTTTTTTATTGACCATTATGGGGGAGATTATTGTAATCTATGGACTGAAATCAGTTTTTTGACCTATGAAGAGCTTCCTAGTTTATATTTATTCCTTGACATTTGAGGTAATATGCCAATTATCTTGAGCTCTGATTAGGATTTTTCTATGTAATATACAACTCGTATTGTTTATTTTATATTTTCCTCTATTTTTAACAGATAGGGATCATTTCCAGCTTGGCACCTTATCTCATACTCTCAACACTAAAGCTACTGGGTACCTGGAATTATCTAATTGGCCAGAGGTGGCGCCCGACCCGGCAGTTCGAAATGTAGAAGTAATAGAGTTGGTAAGTTGACCTTTCTGAAATTAATTTTGTTCAAGCAGTGGGAGATTCTAGGAAAACTATTGTTTTATATAAAAGCATTTTGGGGGGTTGAAAATTGAAAATTGTTCTGGTATGTCTAAATGTAATGTGTTAGATATATCTCGCCTCTATGAGAACTAAATATTGTAGTGTTGCTATGTCATTGTACATGTACTGTTCTTTTCTTCAAGGAAGTAGAGAATTGAATTCTCTGCATCAGTGCCACCCACATTTGTGGTATTGCATTTGTAGCTGTGCAGATTCAATTTCTGAGGTATTTAGTTTCATTGGATTGAGCTTTTTCTACTTTTGTTTAGAGATTTGTAAGCTTCCTGTCAATATTTTTCTAAATATTTTTTGCTGTTCGATAACAGAAAAACCATACAGAGTGTTTTTCTGATGAACCTGTTTTAAGTGAAGCCTGAACATAAATAGGGAGCATTGTTTACCAAAAATGTCCTTAGACAAGGTCGTGATTAAAATGAATAATATGTTGCCTTTACATTTAAAAAAAAATCTTTCTATATAAATATTCTTTTTCTACATCTTTTAAAAATGCTGGCCGTTAGGATGAAACAATTAACATTCTGCCCTAATATTATCAGCTCTGGTGGTGCAGTGGTTAAGAGCTTGGTTGCTGACCAAAAAGGTCAACAGTTTGAATCCACCAGCTGCTCCTTGGAAACCCTATGGGGCAGTTCTACTCTGTCGTATAGGATCACTATGAGTCAGAATTGACTTGACAGCAACGAGTTTGAGTTTTTTTGGTATAAACAAATAAGACAGGAAAGGGGCCTTCTGATTGTCTTTAGAGATTGATTATGTAAAATATATCTAGTTATTTTTTAAGTAAAATTACCGTATTTTTACACAGATAACACACATCTTCTATGTTTGTTTGCCAACTCGCCCTCCCCCTTAATGTATTTTCATACGTGCCGCTATGCCAATTTTTTTCTACCTGTTGCTGTAAAAAAAAAATTTAGCATAGCACACTTACGAAAATACTCGCGGTAGGAGGATGAGGTTGGCAAACAAATGTAGAAGGCACACTATTTGCGTAAAAATACAGTTAATAAAAAAGAACAATTAGGTGCTATATTCTAAATACTTTTCTGGTAGCAAAGATATTTCAAACTAGGATTCAGGTAACCAGAGTTTGTTTACCAGTTCCTGTAGGAAAATCAGTTAACCTCCTTGCCTCTTAACTTTTCAGTATATAATGAAAGAAAATCTCTATTACCTTAAACAGAGGAATTTCTATATGACAGTGTACTATGATAGTGTTTTACAAACATTATGTTGTTTAAACCTCATAATGATCATAAATGATGGTTATTGTTATTCTCATTTTGCAATTGAGGAAACTGAAGCTCAGAGAACTTAAGTAAATTGCCAGTGTTCACATAACTAGTAAGTGATAGAGCTGGGATTCAAGCCTGAGTCTGTCCAAGTCCAGTGTTCACACTCTTAACTACTGGATTTTATTATGTAACATGAGGACAGGAAGCTTCAGCTTCTTTGCAAAGTTGTGCTGTCTTTAATGTGGCATTGTCATTTTCATGTTGTGACCAATTATCTAGAGATGGCAAAAAAATATGTAAAATTTTTGCACAACTAGATATTAAAATTCTATTTAAATATAATATACTGTTAGGAAAACACCGTCTCTCAAAATTAACAGTTCTTTTAACATATTCATAGTTATGAAATTAGTAATGGTGACTAGTATTAGACATACTTTGGTCATTTCATGAGTTTTCAGTTATTAAAACTAATTGCATGCTTGTTCTTCCTTACAACTAAGTTTGTTGATTTTCTTTCAAAGTCCTTTTCAAAAAGATTGGTGTATTTGTGCAAATTTTAGTCGGGGTACTAGAATACAAAGAGCAATGTGCTTTGTTATGATTCTTTCCACAAATACACTCTCTCTCTTAATTTCTTATTATGTCTTTTTGTTGTTTTTATGAGTCTGTCCTTTTTTATTATTGGGTACATAGTGTTTTGGCCCAAGCAGAACCATCATTTTATCCTCCCCCTACTTCCACCCCACATCTCTCCCTACCAGCCCACTTCACCAAAAAAAAATTTAAAAAAAGGTTTATCTTCTCAGAAGTTGATAGCAATGGTATGAGATTTAATTTGGTCTCAGCAGTATCCTTATATCGGCTGATAGATTGGTTGGTTGGCTGGCTTCTTCCATTTTCACGTGCTCTTCTAAGCATTAACTACCTTATAGGGACAATACTTCAGTAACTTATTTTCTTATGTTCATTTCACCTGTCCAGTTTAACAGAATCAAATTGATTTCTTTTCCATTTTACTGACTACTTTTCTGAAATTAGTAATTGGTAACCTATTATGGAGAATAATTATAACTGATGGAAACCAGTTCAAGAGAACTGTCACTATCCATTGATGCCATGTAGAAAACAGCTTCAATCTATTAGTCTCCGAAATATATTGGCTTAAAATTGTAGTATGAAAGACACAATTACATATAAAAATAATGTACTTAGTTTTGTTTTTCAGTGCAGCTGCAAGAGCGCAGAATGGAGTGTTCATATAGTCTTTCTTGCCTCTCACTCTACCGCATCCCCCCTCCAAAATCACATCAGTGTATTTCATGCACATAATACGCTGTGTTATTCTAGTTTTACTATAAAGTGATCTTAGAGGGTAAAATCTCGTTACTATGAAATATAACTTAGTAAGAAAAATGGCCTAGGTTTAGATAATCTGATATTTTAAACTGAACAACAGGGAACCTAGTCAGATTGACACTAGAAGTCACTTTGAATTACACACCACCATTTCTAGGATATCAGATATAATATATATTTATATTATGATACTATAGTAACTTTTGAAGATCCTTTAGAATTCTTTTGGGTGATTCTGGAAAACGCTTTTTCCCACTGTTACAAAAAGACTGCCCCTTGTGTCTCAAGGGTGTTTTGCCTTACAAACACATTTGCTATCAATATTTTATCCCTCTTAAGAATTATCGGATTAGTACTTCTCTATTTTCTTCTCTCTGCTGTTACTCTTTTTCTTATTAGAATGACATACTATCATAATCATAAAGACTGCTGATGTTATTAAATTATGTTATTCAAATATATTCAAATTTTTTTACTCATTTTTCTATCATTTTCCAGATGATAGTTTTCCAGGTGACTGAACCTTATCTCTTTAAGCAACATGCTTTAAGCCCTTAAGCCCTTTAGATCACTGGTTTTCAAGTCGAGTTGCACATGAGAATCACATGGAGATCTTTAAGCAAAACAAAACCTATTGTCAGGCCTACACCAGAACAATTAAATCAGAATATAAGGAGGGGAACCCTAGGCATTAGTTTTTTCGTTGTTAGTATTTTTAATGTTTGTATTAGTATTTAAAAAATATTCTCAGGTGCTTCTAATGTGCATCCAGTGTTGAGAACCATTCTTGAATAAGAACCTCTATCTCATGCTATAAATTTCTTTAAAACAAAGTATGTGCTCTAGCGGAGACTGGCATATAGGAAAAACAAAATTAAAAATGTATTAAATAAATGAGTCTTAATCATTTTTTAGGAATCCTTGGGTGGTGTAAATGGTTAAGTGCTCAACTACTAGCCAAAAGGTTGGTGGTTCAAATCCACCCAGAGGCACCTCAGAAGAAAGCCCTGCTGATCTGCTTGCAAAAGGTCACAGCCTTGTAAATCCAATGGAGCAGTTTTACTCTTCCCACATGGAATCACCAACATTTCCCTGCTCTTAAAAAATAGTATAAGAAACATAGTATTTTTTCTTGATGAAATCAGGGTCATAATTATGAAAATACTTTATTTTGCTTTAGTATAATTAATACCCTTTTTTTGCCTTACTGTACTTTAAGGGGCTATTCATACAACAAATACTTATTGTGCCAGATACACTTGGGATAGATCAGTGCACAAAATATTAAAAAATCCCTGCTCTGCAGAAGGTTACACTCTAGCAGGGGTAGACCAACAGTAAAAACATAAATAAATTATATAGTATGTTGGAAAGTAATAAGTGCTGTGGGGGGGGAAATAAAAAAAGATAGAGCAAAGTAAGATTAGAAGTGCCAGGCTTCTGAAGTGGGAGGTTAGAATTTTAAATTAGAGTGGTTCTCCCTGAGGTGAGATTTGTGCAAAGACTTGAAGGAAGTGAGAGAGTGAGCCATGCAGTTATTTGGAGAAAGGACATTTCAAGTGGGAACAACTGGTGGGGAGGCCCTAAGGTGGAGCATGTCTGGGGTGTTGGAGGAACTTTAAGGAGTGGCTGGAGCAGATTGGGCAAGAGAGAGAGCAGCAGAAGAGGTTAGAGAGTTCAGAAGAGTCCTGGTCATGTAGGGTCATGCAGATGGTTGTAAGGACTTTCGCTTTTTCTCTGAGTGAAACGGTCACCGATTGCAGGGTTTCAAACAAAAGAAGAGCTTGATCTGACTTAGATTTTAATAGGATCATTCTGGCTGCTGTTCCCCAAGTAGAGGAATTCTTGGGGTTGGAAGCAAGGCATCCAGTTAGGAGACTGTTGCAGTAATCCAGGAGAGAGAGATGAATGCTCAGACCAAGGTGATAAAGAACCAACAGGTCTGTCTTAGGCAAAAAACCACGACCAGCTGAAGTACAGCAATGGGCCCATGCTCGTGGAATTCACTGGTCTTACCATGTTCCCCATCATCTTGAAGCAGCTGGTTTGATAGAACAGTAGAATGGCCTTCTAAAGACACAATTAAGGCTCCATCTAGGTGGCAATATCTCACAGGGTTGGGGCAGTATTCTCCGGGAGGCTGTATATGCTCTAAACCAGCATCCAATATATGGTGCTGTTTCTCCCATAGCCAGGATTCATGGGTCCAGGAATCAAGGGGTGAAAATGAGAGTGACAACCACTCACTATTACCCCTAGTGATCTACTCGAAAAATTTTTGGTTCCTGTCCCCACGACCCTATGCTCTGCAGGTCTAGAGGACTTAGTTCCAAAGGGAGAAGTGCTCCCACCTGGAGACACATCACTGATACCGTTGAACTGGAAGTTAAGAATGCCACCTGGCCACTTTGGGCTCCTTATGCCTCTGAATCTACAGGCAAAGAAGGGAGTTACCATATTGGCTGCTGTGATTTATCCTGATTACCAAGAGGAAATCAGATTGATATTACATAATGGAAGTAAAGAAGAGTATGTCTGGGATGCCGGAGATCCCTTAGGACATCTGTTAGTATTGTCATGCCCTGTGATTAAAGTCAGTGGGCAACTACAGCAACCCAATTCCGACACGACTACTAATGGCCCAGACCCTTCAGAAATGAAGGTTTGCGTCACCCTATTCCTGGTACCAAATATTTTAGGCTGGGTTCTGTAAAGAAGCAAAACCACTGTATATATATATATATATAGAGAGAGAGATTTATCTCAAGGAAATGGCTCATGTGGTTTTAGAGGCTAGGAAGTCCCAAGTTCGTGCATCAAGTGTCAGGCTGGAGGCTTCTCCTGACTCACATAGCTGCAGGGGCTGACGACCCCAAGATCCACAGGTCAGATTGCAGGCTGCTGACCCACAGCTGTGAAGGCTGACAAATCCAAGATTGGCAGGTAAGATGGCAGGCTGCTGGCCCAAGTCCTAAGAACTGGACATCAGATGCTGATAAGCCGGATGCAGGATCCAGAGTAGAGCAAAAGCCAACAAGGTTTGCCAGAAAGTTTACATTTATTGGATTCAGGCCACACCCCAAAGGAAGCTCCCTTTCACCTGATTGGCTACTCACAGCAGATTCCATCATGGACGTGATTACATCATTATACGACTGCCATCATTATCATAACTGCCAAACCACTGAGAATCATGTCCCAGCCAAGTTGACACACAACCTTAACAGTCACAGTGGCTAAATGATTTCTTGATGGATTAGATGTGTAGGATATGAGAGAAAGAAGTTAAGGATGAGCCCAGGGTTTTGCTTGTTGAGATATTTAGGGCTACTTATCACCTGCCTGCTCGTAGCCATCCAGTTAATTCTGACTCACAGTGACCCTATAGGGCAGAGTAGAACTGCCCCATAGAGTTTCCAAAGCCGTCATCTTTATGGAAGCATCTTTCTCCCGTGGAGCGGTTGGTGTGTTCAAACTGCCAACCTTTTGGTTAACAGCCGAGCACTTAACCACTGCACCACCAGGACTCCGTATTTATCACCTACATCAAATTTTTTTCTTTTTGTCTTTGACCTCATTGTCTAGTACATTTCTAATTGCTGTTATTAGGCCTGCCTGTAATAACTCTACCCTCTTTTAGGCTGTATTACTTTAGTTTAAATTTTCTGTTCACCAACAAACACAAGTCTTTTTAAAAATTACATATAAGTAAGGTTTTTGTTTTAGCATAATAGGCTCTGAGTGAGAGTGTGTGTTACTCTATTTAGGAATAAAGTCAGTCAGCCTTCATGCCAGAAGCTTTACTTTCTTCTAGATTCATAGTTTTATTCTTTGTTGTTGTTTAAAAAAAATGCATATAATGTAACATTTGCCACCTCAGCATTTTTCAAGTATACAATTTATTGACATCTGTTACATTAATCATATTCATAGTTGTATTCTAAATGATGAAATTTGTCCAAAGCCTGAATCCCTTAATGCAAAGATATTTATAATTTATATTTTTACTTTTTTTTATATATAGGCCAAAGAATGGACACCAGCAGGAAAAACAAAGAAAGAGAATCCTAGTAAAAAATTTTATTCTGAGTCTGAGGAGGAAGACGGGTCTTCTGACAGCAACAGTGACAGTGGTGGGTTTTATAATTTATTGAAATACATCATTATATATTACACTGTGACTTAACATGTATACCTCCAGAAAAACAATGAAGTCTAGTACATCATATCCAACAAGTGCTTTTAAATGAAGTTTATATTATTATAATAATTCATTTCATTTATATATCACTTTTTAGTTTTCAAAGTAATTTCTAATCCTTTCTCATTTAACATTGTCCCTTAGACACATAGCTAATACATGGTAGAGCTGAAACAGGAACCCGTGTTTTTCTGAATTCTTCTTGACACTGCCTGTTACAAACATTACAGTATTGAAAAACATCATTTTTGTACATGATAAGCTTTTAGTAGGGCCTTTAAAAGTAACTTTTTTTTGTAAAAATGTAAAGTTTATTTTAAACCTCAAGCAATCTATTTTTCTTCCGTTTTAAACTGATCTATTTCTACATGAACCTGTAGAGAGATAAAGCTAAAATGAATAAATATGCTGTGAATTATAAAGAAACGAAGAGTTAAAGGATTGGAGGTAACCACATACAATGAAAAGAATACTAAATAGGAAGGACTTAGTAATGCTGGGTTTTAGCTGTGCAGATTGAATAAAGCACTTACCTTTCTGTCTGTCTGATAAATGAAGGGGTTGAGTTAGATGTTTAAGTCTCTTCAATACTAAAATTCTGTTGATGATTTGCATAACAAAAAATATATTGGAGTTTCATTAACAGTTAGCCCAATAGGCAGATCTGACCCGAGAACAAATGACACCCAACTTCCTTCTAAAATATTTATTCCTTGGAGAACTAGAGCCCATCACTATTACTTGGTCATTAACTATCTCACTTAAGGTACTTCATTCTTTTTTTCTCCTGCTTCTTCAATCAATATCTTTGTTTTCAGCATCCGATAAACTAATCTGTGCTGTATTACCTTCTGAGGTAATAAACTGAAAAATAGAAAAAATGCCTCAACCCAGAAGGTTGATTCTAAAAAAAATCTGGATTTCAGAAATGATAATAGACCAGTGAGAAAGACCTTTCTGTATAGTTAGGTGTGTGCTCCTTCATTTTATACCAAGTAAATATTTGTCTCCATCTCATTTATTCATAAACTCATGCCCATTCATAGACTAACCTTTATCAGTACGTAATTGAAATATTCCATGAACACTATGGCTTTTCATGGTCTTTTCAGAATATATATAGTAATGAGTCATGTGGCAAGAGTTTCACTGTAGCTACTGGAGAAAAAAATAACTTTTCTCACTAGAAGTTACGAGATTTTATTTTCCAGTGAGCAAGTCTTTTTGAAAATAAACATATTTTCTTAAGGATCCTACTAACTTATAAATTTAAATAATGATACGTGAAGTGAACTGGACCCATATTCATGTTGAACACTCATGTAATATCATGAGAGTAATATTGATATTTTAATTTCTTTTCATTATGTATAGTATGAGCCAGTTATCTGAGTTAATATGTGTGTATGCATAACTTTCATATCACAACAAAGTCAAAATGTCCTTATTTAGCAGATTTGTTTTTGCTTTGTCAAGTTTGGGTAAAATAAAGTTTACTCTTTGTAAAAGATGTCACCATGTGACAGACACTGTTTTAATCACTTTTACATGTTTCAAATCATTTAATCTTCACAACTCTGTAAAGTACCTAGTATTATTTTTTTAAGCTTTTCTTTTTTAATTGTGCTTTAGATGAAGGTTTACAGAGCAAATTAGTTTCTCATTAAACAATTAATACACATATTGTTTTGTGACATTGATTGCCAGCCCCCTGATGTGTCAACACTCTCCCCTTCTCGACCTTGGGTTCCTCATTTCCATTCATCCAGCTTTCTTGTTCCCTCCTCCCTTCTCATCCTTGCCCCTGGGCTAGTATACCTGTTTAGTCTCATATACATGCTTGAGCTACAGGTATTATTGTTTGTTTTATAGGCCTGTCTAATCTTTGACTGAAGGGTGAACCTCAGGAGTGACTTCAGTACTGAGTTAAAAGGGTGTACGGGGGCCATACTCTAGGGTTTTCTCCAGTCTCTGTCAGGCCAGTAAGTCTGATCTTTTTTTGTGAGTTAGAATTTTAGTCTACATTTTTCTCCCTGTTCTGTCCGGGACTCTGTGTTGTGATTCCTGTCAGAGCATCAGTGGTGGTAGCCTGGGTACCTTCTAGTTGTGCTAGACACAGTCTGGTAGAGTCTGTAGTACTTATGGTCTGTTAGTCCTTTGAACTAATCTTTCTCTTGTGTCTTTGGTTTTCTTCATTCTCCCTTGCTCTCGATGGAGTGGGATCAGTAGAGTCTCTTAGATGGCCACTCACAAGCTTGTAAGACCCCAGATGTAAATCAGCTAGTATTATTATCCCCATTTGCCAAAAAGGAAACTGAGACCCAAGGAGGTTGAATAACTTGCTCAGTCTTAAAACTCGTAAGTGGCAGAGCCAGGATAGAACTCAAACGTTCCAACTTGAAACCCATGCTTTTAACCATTGCAAGCTATTCCTTTTACCCACTACAGGCTATTCCAAAAGAATATAGGCAGTCTTAGTTTTTCACTGTGACGCATAAATGAATCCTAATAGAGTAGATATTATTTACCTATTGAATAATGTTTTAATTATAGGTTATGTTCCTCTCTAAGGGTACTTCATCAAATAGACCATAAAAAAAACCAAACCCGTTACCATCAAGTCAATTCCAACTCATAACGACCCTGTAGGACAGTATAGAACTGCCCCATAGAGTTTCCAAGAAGCACCTGGTGGATTTGAACTGCTGACCTTTTGTTTAGCAGTGGTAGCACTTAACCACTACACCACCAGGGTTTCCAGATAGACCATAGGTAGGGCGATGGTTTGTCCTCTAAACTATAATACAACTGTGCACCTATAATCATTTTGAATACTAAAAAATCATGCTTCATGTTAAAATACACATATACTGTATATATCACTTCTGCTAAAGTTCCTACTCTACCATAAGTTATACATAAAACATTTAAATGTATAACTCCTAAATATAACTTTAATCATCTCTTTAACCTATCTAAAATTCAAACTAGCTAAGATATATAATAACTGTTGAAGTAGTAATTTTCTTTGTTGCCTTTGAATTTAAACTTTCTTGGAGATGATTTGAATGGCTTATTTCCCTCTCAAAATATGTTCCTGAAAGATTCAACCACTGTATTTTTTTCTTTCTAAATAAAATTTTCCATTACAAGTAGAGGAATTCAAAATTATTTCTTTATCCTTACATCATTTTTTAAATTAAAATTTTTTTTTTTTTGCCATAGCTAGATACTTACAAATTTGAAGTAAGATTCTTTCAAATTTGGTTTTTACTTGCTTCATTATTTCTCTTCTCATCATCAGGAGACTTCTCTGTTTTTTTTGAGTCTCTCCAGGCTCACCCTTCTGTAGAATCCATAAATCTGAATGAATGGTGTACAGAAATACAAAGTATTGAACAAGTGGGGTCCACTACATTAAAATTCAACATCTGGCTTCATTTGTGATAAATATTGACAGTTGTATGTGTCCTTAAGTATAATTAAATGGCTGTAAATCAAAGAACATCTGGTTATATTTTTCAGAGAGTGAATCTGGAAGTGAAAGTGGAGAACAAAGTGAGGAAGGAGACAGTAGTGATGACAGCAGTGAAGACTCTTCCAGTGATAGTGGTAGTGGGAGTGAATCAGAACTAGAAAACAAAAGAACAGCCAAGAAGAACGCTAAAAATAAAGGAAGAAGGTAACTTACTTTGTCAGAATTTATTTCAGAAAATATTCTGTGGTATGTTCCTCCAGGCTAGTATTTCCCTTTAATTCGTAGAGTGAATAAGCGTGTGTATTTTTTTCCCAAACAGATATTAAATCTTTTAAAATTAAAATGCTAGTAGTTAACATTATCCTGCTCCGTGCAACACTTAGTTTTCATTTTGATCTTGAACAAACCTTACATTTTGAAAATTGGTATAACCTTGGAAGGCTAAGTTAAGTGATCAGGCAGTAGGTATGAAACACTTAATTACCTTTTGTAGCGATTTTGCTGAGGGCTAAAATTAAATCCTTCAACACTTTGCCATTATGTAACGAAGACAATTGATTTTTCTAAATAATGTTATATTAAAAAGATTATGATCCAAATATTAGAGTCAAGGGCTGTGAAGGAAGACGGTCATAAGATATTTAAGTGCTAGCACTTTTCAAGATCTCCCATTATCAACAACATTATCATGTATTAAAGTGCCATTAAAATTTTGAGTAATTGGGGCTAATACCTTGGATTGCGTGAATCTGTTTCCCCCACTGCTGTCAGCGAGTGGCCTCTGAAGACATGATGGCCCTTTCCTCGGGAGCCTGCTGCCCGCTCACTTGATGAGCTTGCAGCTTGGCTCAGTCGTGGCTGACAGCACTGATTGGGGCGCAGTACGCTCTCTGCTCCTTTTATTACAGACAGTAATTAAAGCAGCTCGCCCTGCCACTTCCATAACAAACACAGCATAATGCCCTAATTATGACTTTATTAATTTAAGTCAGGATTTAATGATTTTAAAAGTGATTTATATTGTTTTTCCTGTTCAGAACAAATGATATCTGTAGGTTAAATTAATACAGGCTTTTCATCATTGCAAAGTTAAAAAGCTAGTTACCAGTAAATTCTTTTCATTAGATTAACATCTGAAACTCTAAGCAGTAAGGTAAACAATAATTACCCATTAAAATTGAGTGATGCATAATAAAAGAACACTTTTACCTTTAAAATCTTATCTTAAAAGCTAGAAGTTAAATATATTCAGAATCAGTCACTTGTTGCAGCAAAGGAGTTACTTGGTTCATAATCGCTTTTTCTTTGTGTGGAATTCTGTATTTTTGGTTTAATATCAGAGTGTCTATGATGACATGGTTTATAAGAAGTATCTTCATTTCTAGGAAGGGAAAGTTTTGTTCAGACCACTAAATATCTTTTCAGATAGCAAAAGCCAGTAAGCTAGAAATTTAAAATCATGTGTTATATTACTTTCATTATTTTTTTCTTCAGGAATGGACTTTTTACCCATGTTTGAGTTTAAAAGAATTGCTTATTACAGCAAAGGGAACTACAGATACCTTCTAAACCTTGTATTTTTAAGTATATGTTTTAACCAGTGAATTGGGGATAATAAATCGCCATTCTTTGATAGAGGAAAAAAACAACATATTTTTTAGTCTTCAAATGTAATTACGTGTGCTCTGAGATGTTGCCATGGCTCCATTTTTAATAAACAGCAATCATATTTCCTCCACAAAAATCAATTCTAGGAAATATCGATTCTTTTCTTGCCTTACCACTCTCCCTCCCCCTGTGTTTCTCTGCCTGTCTCTTAGAATTTTTTTTAACATTGCCAATATAACTGTATGTAATTTTTCTAAAGTTTAAGAAGCAATAAGTATCTTTAAAACCACCCTTTAATAATCATAACTATTTATGACTAAATTTGAGATGAGGAGTTTTATACTCCGAAGGATTTCTATTTGAAGGGAGATAGTATGGCTTAGTGGAAAAAATAATGGACTTTGGAATAAGACAGACTTGAGTTCAAATTCCCCTGTTGCCCCATCTGGCTGTCATTGAGCAAGTTACTTAACTTTGCTGAGAATCAGTTTCATTATTGTAAATGGGATAATCACCTGTGAAGAATATGTTGGGATGTCTAAATTTGATCATTGCTGTGGAGTGCCTAGCACTGCTTGGCACAAGGTAGATACTTTAAAAAAAAAAAAAAGAATTTGATTATAATTATTTATACCAGTGGTGGCAAGAACTTGACCTTCAGTTTGGGAAAAATGAAAACCACCACAATAGATCTTTCTTCCTCTGAGAGAAGGTCTGCTGGGGAGCTGCCTTCCTCCCCCACTGCCTGCCTTAATCCTCAACTCATGTGCCTCTTCCTCTAGGAAACATTCCCAATCTTAGTTAAGTTTCTTTAGGTGCTCCTCCAAATGTTGTCATAATACACTACATTTATTACTTATTATTTATTATACTTTATTGCCACTGCTGGCTTACTTCTCTGTATCCACCAATGGAGTGTAGACTCCACTAGATAGACACACAGAGATCATCAGTATCTTATTCATTACTCCACTGTTACCCTTAGCACCTAAATAGTGCCAACATATGGTACACAATCAATAAACAATTTGTTGAAGGAGTAAGTGAGCAAACAAATCCTTGAAGAACATTAAGCATTTACATGTGATCATTTGGTATTTAAAAAGTTTGTATTTGAGTATCTTGCATTTTTAGTAAGACTCAGTGCATTAGAAGAATTCTCTTTTGAAGTGGTTAACATTTTCTAATATAGTGTGTTTGAGTCATGTTTGGGAACATGTGTAAGTAATTTTTTTGTACGGCAAAATCTACTAAAATGCAAGTCTCAAGTAATTGCATAAATATTTAAAGTTATTAATAAGCAGTATTTTCAGACAACATTTTAAAATCAACCTATGTATCTTTGAAGTTTTTACTGTTAACGCTTAATGTATATTCCTGGTAAACCAGACATTTAATCAAAGTTATTAATTATTTTTTACTTTGTTACTGATATTATCATTTAGTGTTATTTTATGACCTTTTGAATGTGAAGTGTGTGGCATGATATAATTGAGTGTGATTGGCTTCTGACTTAATTTGGTTATAGATAATACTATATTATTATTTCGTTAGTTCTGGAATTTTTAAACCACTTTTGTCTTTTTATATACTAAAGAGAAATAGTTCTTAATAGGATACGCTTATCTGGTTAAGGCCCTGATTTATATGTAAAATGATCATATATCAACATTTGCCATTTGAATCTTGAACTGCTTCACAAACTTGTTTGTATAAAGGATTTAAAGTTGATATTTCAAATTTTATTATTATGCGTAGTGATTCTGAAGATGGAGAGAAGGAAAATGAAAAATCTAAAACTTCAGAATCTTCCAGTGCTGAATCAAGTTCAGTAGAAGAAAGTTCTTCAGATTCTGAATCGGAATCAGAATCCGCAAGTAAACCTGAGTCCAGAAAAGTCACTAAGGTAAAAGATAGTACACATTTCTTATAATTGAAGGTAAATATTTTTATAGCCTTTTCCCTGTTAAAAAATAAGTATTTCCAAAAATTAGTGTTTTGTTGAAAGTCAAGAAATTAAGAAAGGAATGTTTAACATTGTCACTGACAACTTGATAACTAAAATAACACAATCTCCATTCATTCATACCTGTGATCCCCTTCCTCCCTCCTCTGCCACCGTCCCGGATAATCATTTCTCTTATAACCCAGCCTTGCAGAGACGTTAGAAACTTTTTTTAACCTCGTGCCGTGTCACTGAAAGTAGAGAGGGGCCTCTCAATGTTATGAGCATTGCCTTTTTTGTTCTTAGCTAGATTGTGACAAGGGAGACTTTTGTTAAAGGGGAAGCAAAAGGAAGTCACAGAAATAGTATTGAACAAAGGAATATAAATGTACATACAAGGTAAGTATCACCCCCTTGTAAATGAATTTAGGAGCCCTGGTGGTGCAGTGGTTAAGCTCTCAGCTGCTATCTGAAAGGTGAATGGTTCGAACCCACTAGCCACTCCAAGGAAGAAAGATGTGGCAGTCTGCTTCCGTAAAAATTACAGCCTTAGAAACCCTGTGGGGCAGTTCTCCTCTGTCCTATTGGGTCGCTATGAGTCGGAATCAACTTGACGGCAACAGGTTTCGATTTTTTGGTTTGTAAATGGATTACATTGATGGTAGGCTTCAAGCACAGTAGTTTTATATATAGGCAGTCCCCAGGTTAGGAACATCTGACTTACAGAGAACTCATACTTGCCCTTTAATGTTACGTAAATTTGCCCTCGGTTTGAAACCATTGAACCAACCCCTACCTGCAACAAATTCTTCATCATAATCACCTTTGCTTGCTGCACATGCAGCTTTTAAATCATCAATGTCTTCAGCCTTTTCTTGCACCAAATTAAGGCTGAATAAGAACTGTATGCACCAATTTTGACTTACCTAGAAAGTAAGTAAATTCTTAAAGACACACTCAGGAACGGATCTCGTTCATAACCCGGGGACTGCCTGTATTGTATTATTCCTTATGTTGAAAATTTGGTCAAACGCTGCCTTTAATTGAGTTCAATTTCTTTTTAACCTGATTTTTTTTTTAGCTCTATTAACTTGAGTTTCTTCAGTATGTCATCTGAGTAGCCAAGGATGAAAATAAATGACAGTTACCTTTCCCATCCAGAGATTTAGTGTTAAAGAATAAGCATGTTTTAAATCGGCTAGTATTTGTCTTACCTTATTTCAGATATTCTTGCGGGTAGTAAAACCTATCTTAAACTTGAATTTATGTTTAAAATTTGTGTCTATATATATAAAGTGTATGATCTGAGATTTTTGTTTTCAAAAATTCACATAAAATCTTTGAGATTTTTAAGGCTTATTAATTTGGTCTCATAAAAAGTTATTACATAATCAGTTCAGTGTACTCTCATTTCCTACTTATATTGAATTACAAAAAAGCATAAAATATTATTTAAAATAAAGGAGCTTTTAAAATTGACATTAAGTACAACCTGGAATAAGAAATTAGTGTTTTTTAAAACAATGGATCAAGAAGTCAGTTAATATCACATGGCTATAATTAAAGTGAGTTATTCTTACAAAGTTTTGTAAAAATTGAAAAATTGGGGTAGACTTTAGTGCCTATATAGTATTAGAAGCAGAGCTTAGGAGCCCATTAAAAAACAGCAGTGGAAACCCAGGCCAGTGATTTACTTGGTTTCTTTGTCAAAGACTTTTAATGATCTGATTAAATCTCTTGATAACTCAAAATATTTTAAAATAAAAATATCAGTGTACAAAATTCAAACTATTGCAATGAACCAAGTCCCTTGAGAAATTCAGGTTTTACTGACATTATTAAGAGTTTTGTGTGTATGTGTTTTGCTTAGAGGGCTTATTTTCTCTATTATGGTACCTTTTCTAGTCCGTAATAGGCAAAGAGTTGTTGATTTGTTTTCATTTAGCGGTTAGAATAAATATTCTCCACCTTAGAGCCAACATAGCTATTTATTTCTTTCCATTTCTTTCTGAATGGTTTGGAGTTTACCCTGCAATTTGAAGTGTACCAATTTTCTAATAATGCGCAACTGTAATTGTGGAAAAGTCCTCCTTGCACCAAGTGTTGCAGCTTCTGCTCTAAATTATGAGTAATGAAGGCAGATGGTTGATGCTTTACCTTAATTTAGCATGACGGTATGTTAATGCTGGAAATTCATATGCCTTAAATCTGCAGCCCAGCGAAATCCATACTTTTACTCTTTCACTTCTTTTCTTTAATCTAGACAATGTGTTTTGAGGGCAGTGAGCAAGAAAATGAGACCTTGAGGTACCCTGAATGTATGGCTTTCAAAACAGTTAATTTTTATGATGGTCCTATGAGATAGGTATAGTATTCTGCTTGTTGGGAGATAGTATCTTTATGCTTCAGTTTCCTCATCTATAAAGTAGAAATGCTAATACTTATCCTACATCTTTCAAGTGTTACTATAAAAAAATCAAATGTGAAAGGTCAATGTAAAGCCCTATATAAATATAAAAGAGCATTTTTAACATTTTTAAACTTGAGCATTAGTTCTGTAGAGCGCAACAATATTAGAGTTATAGAACCCAACATTTTTAACTCTAAGCCTCCTGTGTTTTCCTGACTCTTTTTACACCATTCAAGTTATAAGTTAACATTCAGTTACAACCCTTTACCTGCTGCCCATGATCTCATCTACTTTCCTCAGAAGACTGAGCTGTCATCCATTGTGGTTTCTCATAGCTCTCTACTCTCTACACAGAATCTCTGCTTACCCTCCTTTTTTTGCATTTAGCTCTAACTAAGTGATCCCTATCTACTTAGCCAAGAATAAGTCCTACTTCCTTTGGACTTTATTTTGTTGAAAATCATCTGCCTCCTTTGTACCTTCAATCTCTTAGCCCACTAATTTGTTCTCTGCCTATCAACATACTCAAGTCTTTTCTAACATTTAAATAAAGAGAGAAAAGGAGGGAAGAGATAGGAGGGACAGACAGAAAGTGAGAGTTTGGAGAGGTAATGTACATATTCTCTATTACCTCTTAACCCAATTATTTCTTGGTCCCTTATAAATTGGTTTCTACCCCTCACATTTCCTACAGATACTCCTTTCAGAAAAGTCGGCTGTGATCTTTCCCCAAACCTAATGGCCTTCTCTTAGTCATTATCCTTCTTGATCTTTTTTTAGTCTGTTTCCCTTGAAATACCCTGCATCTCTTTTCTTCTGATTTCTTTGACCTTTCATTCTTTTGATTGCTTCTCTTTTTACCCCTTTCTAACACCCAAGTATGAACATTGCCTAAAATGAGTGCTTAGTGTACATTATTTTTTCAAAAATATTAGTTGATCTGAGTTCATTTTTCTTTAGTCCTCCTTTTTCTCTACATTTTTCCTGTTGTGGGACCTCATTCACTCCTATAGCTTCAGCTAGTGTGTTTATATGAGTTACTTTCCATAGTAACATCTCCAAATCCCTGGAACAAATCCAGCTTTTCTTCCCAGATTCAGACCAAATTCTTAGACCTCTCTGGGGCTGTTGGTTCTCCAAATCTAATGTATCCAGAAGATATGTGCTCCCTTTAGTGCCAACATTCTTTCTACTTTCCCAGATCCTCTATCCTTTTATTTATGAAGTTGCCAAGGCCGATAGATTCTGCACATTATTTCTCTTATCTGTCTCTTCTTTCCTTTTACCCACCATTCTAGATCACTTCATTATCTTACTCGTATACCATTGTCATTGGTGGTTCTCAGAATCTTACCCTACTGCAGTCCTTCTGTACAGCTGCCAGATTCATGTTAAAGTTCCCTGCAGTGACACCCCATTGCCGTTGGAGTTCACTAAACTCCTCAGGCTAACATGCTCACACCTACCTTTCCAGTCTTAACCCCACTCATGTTTCCTGTATTCTAATGCCAGTGAACTATTTGTGGTTCTTTTAACATGCTATATGCTTTTGTTGTTCTTTTTTTTTTTAATTGTACTTCAGGTGAAGGTTTACAGAACAAATAGTTTCTCATTAAACAGTAGTACACATATTGTTTTATGACATTGGTTAACAACCCCACGACATGTCAACCCTCTCCCTTCTCGACCTTTTCTTTTTTCTTTTTTGGTGAAAATATACACAGCCAAAGATACACCATTTCAAAAATTTCCACATGCACGGTTCAAAGACATCGACTACGCTCTTCCAATTGTGCTGCTGTTCTCACTTTAGATTTGTTCTTCTTTTTGCACCATTTCTTTTATTGTAGAAATTACAAGCTGAGGAGAAAGTGGTCTTATATCAGAGTGTGGTCACTTTATTTCTAGTTTGATGGGAGAATGACTGCATGCAATAAAAAACGTTACTGATGAGAGGGTATTACTCACGTGAATGGTGTCGGGACAGTCAGAAGGGTTAGAACTACCACTGAAGTGTTTATGTTCCTGAAGTGCTTGCCATTTAACACCATGCTCCAGCATATACATAAGGCACAGAACTGTAGTCAAAATCCTGTCATTGTGTTGTTTGTTAGTTTGTTTTATGGATTGGGGGATCTCCTCATTTGATTGCAGATATTGTAAATAATGATTGTTCTTTATCAGGTCAGTAATGTCTTATTCTTTAGTTACAATTATTGTGATTGGTGAGCATATTTTTATCAGTAGATATTCTTTTCCAGAATACATTTAATTGAGAAGTATTTTAATTTAAGGATAGTTAATTGCTGGGCTGCTAGCTGAAAGGGCAGCAGTTCAAACCCACCAGCTGCCCTGTGGGAGAAAAGACCTGGTGATCTGCTCCCTTAAAGATTTCAACCTAGAAAACACTATGGGGCAGTTCTACTCTGTCCCTTAGGGTCACTATGAGTTGGAATAAGCTCGATGGCATAAAACAGTAGTCCTTGTTATGAAATAATTATTTTGCCCCAAATAATACTTACAGCAAAATTACTTTTAATAGTTGTATATT